CAAATACTGTAGAATCTCTTTTCTTCCATCTTGATATAATATTCTTCCTTCTTTCTTTTCCCATTCCTTTTTCTTTCTTAATCAGTCAGAATCAGTTTTTTTCCACATCTTTTTCTCAACCATAATCCACATTGATAGTATGTTCTACAAAGAAACTCTGAATGTCACCTTATTGGTATCCTTTATGTATGATTTAATCTAATGGTGACTCGTGAAAATGCCAGTAAGAATCTTTAGTATTCCAAAGTAGTACATCAAAACATTCAAAATAAGGATGTAATTCGCAGCAGCACCCAGTCTTATGAGCCCCTCCACCCTCAAGCTCAAATTTTCTCATTTAAGTAAAATTCTGAAAGCTATGGGAGTGCCTCTAACAAGAGCAGATGCCGCTGTGCAAATATATGAACCGTATTAGCTATGTGTATTAGAAGCAGCACGCGAAAATAAAATTTAAAAAAAAAGGCTACTTTAAAGGATATTTATTTGAAAAACCTAGCTGAACGTAGAACAACAAATAAGCAAGTGTGTGCCGCTTTCCAATACACTCATCATTTTGTCAGCCCACTCCAGGAAAATCAATTCGTGCAGTTTGTCTACAAACGGCGTTATGCACTAAATAGTCACCGTTCAGAGGATTAACGCTTAGGAGGGAAAGGAGAAAACACTCATGTATCGAAGCAAAACCGTTGAGAAACAGCAGAGGAACTTGTCCGTGCGTTTGAATGTCCAGTTCCAGCCCCGAAGCGACGCCGCGCGGGAGGGAGGGAGCACGCCAGGGGGGTGCTGAATGGTAGGGATGTACCCAACGTCTGTGCAGAGCCCGCTCCTTAGGTGAAGGGCACACGCTCCTGTTCTTTATAACCCCATTCCATTGTTCTTCACGCTCCTGTTCTTTATAACCCCATTCCATCACCACCTGAGTTTGTATGAACATCACCAATGCAAAATCGTTATATTCTGGCAAAGCAAGAATAAAAGATATGGCCTGCTCCAGCCCCAGGTTTAATACACTTGTTACAGCGACGCTGGATTCCCTAACGCAGCCCCAAAACGTGTCATTTTAAAAGGCCCGTCCAGTTTCAAGTGTTATAATCATGGCATAAATAATGTAATTAATCCCCGCAATCCCAACTCCAAGCTGTTTGCAAACACATAAATCATACCGAGTGCTGGTCACGTTACCAATAATCGAAGGGCCACAGATTTTCAGGCCCTGAGGAACCAGTACAAAAGCGTCGTGTCTGACTTCTTGCGAAAAACAAGCAATTAAAAATTGCTCCTACATCAAGCCCTCCACTAAATGGGGCTGGGGCCGCGTGGGGCAGATGTACGTGTCCTGCCTGACAGCAGCCTGAAGGTTACTCCGTACTCACCTGGAGGGGAGAAGGTACAGCTGAGCATTCGTGTGACACAGGGACATTGCAAGGACGCAGCACTGGCCATCCTTGGACCTTGGTGAACATTTCGTCTCTGCAGAGACTCCCCCTACACAGGAATGATCTTCAGTGCTCATTTTAAGCCTGTTTCAGGGAAATGGTGTAAGGTGCACAGAGGGCACACCAGGAAGAGACTGACCTCTACTAATCCATTTTATGGGGAAGGAACTAGAAAGCAAGCAAACCTGTAATGTGCATGGTCCAGTCACTTATGTGCCACTTTCAGAAAATATTTAATAAACCTTCAAGGAATTTGCCTGAATAGGGATTGAGTAAAGAATGACTTATCCAGAATCATGCTGCATGTCTAAGTCAGATGTGACAGGGTTCCTGGGACCGTGCTATAGATGCTGCCTTGCAGCATGGAATTAATCCATAAAATTCATTACACTTTTGCTGATGAAGCAGTGGCATCTTCTTCACAGTCTTTTTCACTCAAAAACACGAAGCAGAGATATATCCTTTTGCACCATGCTTGAATAGCCTATCAAAGTGCTTTTGGACAAATAACACCCTTTCAGCCTATGACATTACCAATTTTTGCAATATGGTAAAGATTTCTCTTGGCTCAAGTAGGCACACGACAACAAGTTGCCTTCACCTTGAACAAAGACACTACTTGTGATGTTACAGTGCATCTTACGGCAAAAAATACTCACAGGTGACCTCTATCTACCTCATGCTACTGTACCCCTTGCCTCAGTCGCAGATGATACTTCAGATACCAGCTCTGAAAGACTAGAATACATCAGGAGAGAGCAAGCTGGTGAAAATTGAGTTGGGACAGAAGCACCTATTAAAAAACTACATTGAAACAAAATTGTCACCAAACTTTTGAGTAAGTAAATAAATAAATATAAAGTTTGTAGGCACTCCACTGTAACCGATTTGCCTTTGTTGACTGTTTTAATTGTTCTCTTAACCTCAGTAACATCCTGCTGTTTCAAATCCACATGTAAATCTGCCAATATTTTTCTGACTCCGTCAAAACCAACTGCAAAATTCCACATGACCTCAGCAAGGCCAGGATTTCATTCTCTTATATGCAATAGAAATAGGTGGGTTTCATATATTTAGGATTTTGCGTTTGTTAATACACAATAATGAACACACATAGTATCGATCCACAGCCAACAAATCTGTGACTTCAAATATAAATCAAATATGATACTGCTAATTACTGCTCCGCTTATTTTTCAGTTGTGCTAGGCGGGAAAATACCCCTTAGTGTTTATACAAATGCATGTAAACATATTTATATATAAACACATATATATTAACCTTATTTAGAATAAAAGCTGTTAGAAAAAGAAGTATTTTTTACATCTTGTCTCCTAGAAACTATATGCTTAAAATAATAATGAGCCAGCTGGGAACACTAATGGTCAGACAATAACTGAATAGAGTATTTCACAGTTTCTGCAAATATTAGGCTGATTAACGTTAGTTGTGACGGGTACTATAAAATATGTTCGGTTTTATCAACACTTCAAGCATTTATTCACACACACACATATCTGTCAACATTTAAAATTTCATGAAAAGCATTTTAATCTGCCACGTTCGGTCCAGTTCTATAACTAACGGTTTGAAACACTGGTTTCCTGTGAAATAATTAACATTAAATGGCAAAGCCTCTCCAACCGTATCGCCCGCGAGCTCCTGCCAGCTGGGAGAGGGGCAGAAGGTGCGCACTGCTGTGAATTCGGAAGGGAACATGTGACACAACCTGACATGTCAAAGTGTGAAGAGGTTTTTGCCACTTAGGTAAAAACAAGTTTACTGACTGATGAAACCGGAAAAAAAAAAAAAAAGAAAAGAAAAAAGAAAAAAGAAAAAAGAAAAAAGAAAAAAGAAAAAAGAAAAAAGAAAAAAGAAAGAGGAGGATTTGGATGTTATTTTATTTCTACATAATTACATGCATCAGGAAAAGAGAGCTATGGCCATTTTTAAATGCCTTTAAGAGCTTCCCCCCTCCTCCTCCCTTCTTCCCTTGCTGTTCAGAGCTGTTGAGTAACAGACATTTCAGAGTGTGCAGGGGGGGAAGTAAACAAATGCATCGCTACTGTAGTTGCAGGGCAAGGAAACATTGATGTCACTGCTGCTATAATCACATTAGTAGGGTGCGTTAACGGTAATGTCATGTTTGATCAACTAGTCAGGTCAAAAGCCCTTCAAAACACAATCTGAACAGAAGCACAACCCAAAATGGCACGAGAATCGACTTCCGAACAGTTCCCTTCCAAACACAGACCCCTGTTGCAAAGGTGAGCTTTCGGTCACCGACACTCAATGTCAAATCATCCTCAAGCACACAATTACACTTTACACTTGGCTACGTCCCCGTTCCCCCTCCCTATAAAACCCAATTTGATTTTTGTCTTGTCCTCCGCTGCGCGCACACCCCCGCACCCTGCGGAGCCCGAATCCATCCCCGCCGGAGATACCGCCCGCAGCCGGAGTTTGCTGGGAGCTTGTCTCTCAAGGGCAGAAACACTGACAGCCCCAGTGTTTAGGACCAGTTTTCTTTGGGTAGGTCTTTTTCACTTCCAACACAATGTGTTGCTGTCTCTCCACTTTAGCGGGCGGCATTCGACGCGACCAAAGGGTGGGAGCAGAAATAGCCAACGACAAAGCGACAAATTCTTTCAGGTGGGAAAAGGGCTGGGCAGGATACGTCCCCTGGAGCGTCCCAGCCTGCTGGGCACACGCACCTTCAGCCATTGCGTACTTTTTTACCAACATTGCCAGGCTCCAGCCTGTGTTTAACCCTCCAGCATGAACCCTTCTGCAGTGAGCAGTACGTAGGAAACCCGGTGTGGGTGAGATCTGCCAAGGACCACTGCCATCCACAACTTCCCACACACGTTTGTCTGTCATCTCCCTCACCTCCTTCCTCCAACCTGCCCGGGGGAAGGGGAAACTCATCCCGCTTCGCATCCCCTTCCCCGAAGTCCGCCTGCCGGTGCCCGGCCGGGTACCCAACACCGTCCCCGTTATTTTCCGTTACTTCCCCCGGTTTTGCCCCCGGTACTGACGAAGCGCTGGCTTTTTCCCCCCATCCCCCGGGCTCACCTTTTCGGTCTGCCCGGCGGCGCAGCCACCGCCTGCATACCAATGTGGGGCCGCAAAGGCAGCGCGGCGGCCGCCCTCCCGCACCCGCACCCGCACCGCACCGCGCCCGGCCCCGGCGCTCCCGCGGGCGCGCTGCCCTTCGCGCCTTCATCGCCTCGACGCGTTTAAAGCGGGGGGTACAGGGGGGGAAGGGGACACCAGTGCAATTCGCCCCGGCAAAGCCGGACGGGTCCCGCTCGTCCCCTGGGCGCGGGTAACGCAAAGCGCGCAGCGGGCGCTCGGGCACGCACATCTGCCCGTGTGTGTGTGCGCGGCGTGGGGCGCGCGTGTCACATCCCTCTGTGTGTGTGTGTGTGTGAGAGTGTGTGTGTGTGTGTGTACGTGTGCGTGCGAGGAGAGCGGAGCGGAGCAGGAGGGAAGGAAGGAAGGAGGGAGCCAGCCCCGCCGCACCCCGCGCATCCCCCCGCGCCGCGGAGCGCGGAGACTCACCGGGTCACCCTGGTCTCTGAAGGTCAAGCTCAGGTTGGTTTCTTGATTGCAGTTGTCCTCGGGGATCTTTCGGCTCGGCTCTTCCCGCTTTCTCTCTTTTTTTTTTTTTTTTTTTTTTTATTGAATTACCCTTGTTTTGTGTAATAGCATTTTTACATGTGGGCCATGCTTTTTTGACATTTCACACAGTTTCAGAAAAAACTAAGCAAGCTGGAAGAACAGCTCAGTAACGAATTGCAAGCCAAAGATGAACTAGAACAGAAGTACAGGTGAGACTGTTTTGACATCTTAGGTATGTTTATGCAAAAGTTTCATTACATCTTTTGGTTTTGAATGCTTAAAAGCATTTTAACCCACTTTGGGGATTTCCAACCCTCACTGTAAATTGCTGGCTTAATTCATGCTACTCCTGTGACTACTGGGGTGGTTTTTTGGGTTGGGTTTTTTTTTTTTTTGGCTTA